AATAATAGAAATTGGCCGAAATAAAGGGAATATATACCAAGGGAGTTAGCCGACCTTATTCCCTTTATTTCGGCCAATTTCTACTATTTTTCCAGCGATCCGCGGTGCCTGGTAGAGGCTAGTCGGGGCGACAGGCACGCACTGCCGCCGCATTGCTTACGGGAGGCCAGGCGCGCGCTACCGAGGCGGGGGATCAATGTATGCGCGACGATCTGCAGGGGCCGCAGCGCAGGATCGTAAAAAATGGCCTAATAGCATACATAATAACACCTGCATAAGACCTACACGAACCAGCGCCCACCCCAAAATTTCCAGTACGAAATAAAAATACCAAAATTTTATCGATCCTGTCAATAGTAGAATAATTTGCACTGCTGACAGGAAAAATCCTGTCAGCAGTGCAAATTATTCTACTATTGACAGGACGATCCTGTCAGCAGTGCAGTATTTTCTGCTATTGACAGGACGATCCTGTCAGCAGTGCAATATTTTCTGCTATTGACAGGACGATCCTGTCAGCAGTGCAATATTTTCTGCTATTGACAGGACGATCCTGTCAATAGCCACAGGCTAAAAATTACTTGCTGTGGTCTCACACTGTCGTAAAACTGACCACAAAACGTCAGGTTGTCGTGAAACCTCGCTGGGCGTCGACGCATTTAGGCCGTTCTCTGAGGTGTATTTTTCTGAGGTCAATACGAGACAACAGACATGGAGTCCCGTTGGTTCAACCCAATGAGCCGCCCTGCTATGGCCAACTTGTATAACGCTGACGACAGGTCGGACAAGGTGAGAAAAGTTTTTGTACTAAGGCTTGAGCATAGAAAATAATGTCTTTTTTTTACACCAAAAAACAGTTACCAGGCAACTGGATATGATTTTGGAAACGGTCAGACGTTTCAGGTAGCATCCACTACCTTTCGTCAGTGACACTAGAGAACTTGTGCAGAAATGCAGGTTTATAAGCACGAACTATTGATTGATATGCAAATACGTTAAAATCTAGACAATTTTTGGAAGTCCAAAAGTATAAGTATAAATCTGTTTTTCGTTAATTAAACAATAACGTAACATTTTCAGCTTCCAAATGCAGAATTTTTCTGCAGAAAAGAGTTATATTTTCTGCTTCAATTTCAGTAGAAAATGCCAGTCCGTTTAGTCCTTTTAAAAAATTTTGTTGGAAAATCAGAAGAAAAGAATGCTAGCACAATACACTTCTATATACGAATGTTAAAAAGCTAAGCGATTTTAACTAGACATTTTCAAAACACTATCGGAACACTATAGCACTTTCGCATAAGCGTGGTTTTGCGTCCATGAAAACACACATTTTACTACTGAAAAAGGTATTTAAAAATGTATGTTATATTGTTCGTAACCCTAACCCTAAGTCCTAACCCTAACATGCACAAAAATGTGTCAGAAAACGTGTAAAATGTTTAGATAAAGGTGCAAAACGTATAGGATTGTAAAATTATGTTCCTTTTGTACATAGGACTTGATGAACACATGGTCGCTACGACCACAGGAACGTCAGAAACTAGCGGCACGGAAGCGGCACAGGGACTGTCACATAACGTGCTTCACTGGGATCGTCATTTTTCAGCTTTTCATAGCTGCAGGCGTAGCTTTTCTTGGTAAGATTATTTTTTCACCCCAACACATATATTTTGTGGTACAAACCCATGACTGTATTAAACTGATTTCAATACATTAGATCCTATAGATAAATTCAATTACATTCTCGTGGGAGATAACCAATACAGTGTTCAAATAGGAAAATACATTAAAGAATGTTTCGATCTTAGAGACTACATGTTAGAGAATAGTTAAACCTTTATTGTTGCCCCTGACATACATTCTGTACGTTATTTGCCTCATACATATACTCAGTACGTAGGCTAGGTTGTCACTAAATTCGTTGACACGGAAATGGCATTAGTTGTCGTTAGGGACTCCACATTACTGATATCTTTAAGTCTTAGCAACTCTGTTTTCAAATTATTCAGTTGCTATCATAGTAAAATTTACTGATTGACTTTTTTTCTTTCTTTAGATGCATCTCATTATTATTTTTTTAACGAAGCCAAGCCAACGACTATCTCTTTTCTAATGATGTTTTCTTAAATTTCTATCTACAGTGTGGAGTTCGGTAGACACGTCCAGCAAACTCACTCTTCGTGCAGGTTAGTCTTTGTTGTTCTTGGTTCAAAATTATTTCTAGAAGAAATTGAGCGATACATTAACTACGTATACTTTAAATACCCTTACCTTCATTTCGTTTTTCCTTCACCTAGTTTTGTACCCAAAATTTGTACCATTACCACTCTTTTAAACATAATTATTGTATTGTATTAATATTGCATAAATCAATAATGTATAAATCTGAATTTGCACATTGAGCCTAATTTACATAGTTAGACTCAAAGTGAGATCGGTAGCTCATGAGTCATGTGTAGTACGGACCAATGGCAAACAATTTTACACAACAGTTAGGCCTTCATAAACTTGCTACCGTTGACCCCCAAACGACCGCATTTACCTGTCTTTTGATTGGACGGTCAATTAGTCTTGCCACGAATGACAGAACGTGATTCAACGTTTCCAAGTGACGTCATACGCTAAAAAGAACCATACAAAAACTCCAATACAACAGAGCACTCGACGTTGCTGTGATTTGGCCTAAGTTAATCACTGTGGCAAGAACAGCGAACAAAGAATGTTGCGTACTAAATGAGTTAGTTGTATTTAACAAAGGTGTTACTACAATACAGTGGCAAATAAATCAGTGTCATTGCCACCATTTTGCCTTATCTTATTTTATTCATTGACAAATAAATTACGGGCCTATATACATAGTAGGTTATTAGTCAATGGATTATGTTTAAGCTAGTTTGAAGACTCTAGTACATATACAACCATTACGGTTGCACATTTTATTCCTGAAAGAATAAATCATTTTTAAGGCCACGCCAATTTAATTTCTTGGCTAACGAATTTTTCTAGAAAATAATGGAGCGGGCGGGCGAAAAAAATAATAAAAACAGGCCTAGGCATCCTATTATGGCCCAAAGTGGTAAGATAGGAGCCATGAAGTCAACACACCAGGCTGGTTCAAAATTAACACAATGAATTTTGAACTTTTAATGATACCACTGCATTGAAAGATGGAATAACTGTAACAACTAGGAAGGAAAGGACTGTTTTCAACAGTTCAGGGCAAAATATGAGCATTTTGCAGTTGATTCTGAATTTTTTTTTTTTTTTTTGCAAATCACACAAAAAAATGAAGCGGGTGATCAATCCGTTAACCAAGAAATTAAATTGGTGCGGCCTGATGGTTGTACAATTATTCCTGAAAGAATAAACCAATTTTATAGACTACATTCATCCAGGTTGGGTGTTTCAATGGTCAAAAGAAGAAGTATGTTTCCTAGCTCCCGACTATATGTCGTTACTGTAATATACTTTTCTTTACACAGATGTTTTCGTGTTAGCGCTACTAGTTATGTTGTATTGGCAATATTGACTCTTCGCATAAAAGTGTGAAGAAATTCTTAAGACAGAATAATCAATGTATTCTAATTAAATTTAGACCTTATCGTGACAATCACATATAATCTGAAATATAATATATCATTTCCGTTAATTATCAAAGTTATCAACAATTTTGATCTAATTATTTTGTCCACCAATGACACGTCTAGGCGACACACCTAGCAATGATAGTATGTAGTTTAAATAGACTGGAACACACTCAGGCAAATATGTTATGGCAACAATTTTTTACACAGGCTGTGGCCCTTTTCGAGGCTATAATAATTATTCATAGTTCTTCATTGTAAGATTAGGGCAAATTTCTTTTCATTTCTTTACATAGAAATTCCGATTAAACCTGTACCATTGCATAACAATATTCAGGGTAGAAGTGTGACATCATACAAATGCGTAGTCGAACAGATGCCATTTTGTTTACATCCAATTTGCTTTTATTTATTGGTGCCACCCAAAAATATGGGGACCTTGGTGCAGACTCCTTTAACATGTTTGTAAATGTGAGGTAATGCCTTAATTTTGTGCTAAAAACGGTCTTTGCATGTGTAAATAACACTATACATTATGCGGAATATTTGCAATTTTGTCTCCAAAGTTTTATTTATCAGTGCCACCCAAAAATATGAGGACCTTGGTGCAGACTTCTTTAACACGTTTGTAAATGTGAGATAATGCCTTAAATGTGGCACGAAGGCTTTAAATGTAAATAACACTAAGTTACGCGGAATGTTTGCAATTTTGTCTCCAAAAGTTTACGTTGTATACCTTTAACGATGTGTTGCGAATGACAAAAAAAATCCCTGCTTTAAATCATCGCCCTTAAGGTGTGAATAATGGTTTTACGATCTTGGCTCAGACGCACGAGAGACTAGTAATAGGTGTACACAGCGTTTTATTACCCCTAATAAATGTCAACGTTGAGATTTTTATGGCGTCTGTACGTCGTTTTGACGCTATGGACAAAGGAATGACCCCTCCATGGCTTACCCAGCTTTTAACGTAGCTAGACAACCAAGAGATTTCGGAGGTCGTAATGTTATTGTTTTGACTTTGCCACACAAAGGTGAAGTTGATAATAGGGACTGTTTTGAAGGGGTTGTACTTTGTTGTTAGGACAAACGATAAAATAGAACAAAGGCAAATCTCAATAACATACATGCCAGCAAATGTATCTGAATGTTTAATGTATAGGATTTTGTTATATTTAGGGCTTGGATAAGCGATCGGTAAACATATATTTCATATCTCTGAAATGTACAGACTGCGTATACATATCACGTTTGACATATCAGCCTTGTTGATATGGCATTAAATGGCTGTTATGTCCTATAAAGTATGTTATAGGTCTACAACGATATAACTCTTATCGTAGAAGACTAGGGGTGAACCTATGCTTGGCTATAAACGCGCAAAGTTATAAGAGGAAAAACATTGTACCTCTACTAGCTACTAGTAAAAAGCATCAGTGGAGGAGGGCCGCTTTAGTATTTTAGGCCACAGCAAGTAAATTTTATCTATAACATATTCCGTAGACTCCAAATCTAATGCGATAGGTCGAAAAAAACAAGGCGGGCCAAAAAACAAGAGTCCTACATTTTTGACATCATAAATCTTGTTAAACAAGAAATGATACTTAAATTGTTCTACGTTTACTGCCAACTATTACAAGATCTATTTGTGATTAAAGTATAAGTTTTCAATAATTCTACAAATAGTCTTGATTCTGTGGGAACATCACATATAAAATGAATGAAATACTTCACTGCATCAAAGTAAAAGACAGAACAATAAATCAGAGCCTTTTCTTCTCTCCTCTCCTAATGATATTTACCTGCCATCCATCTTCCGGCATGGCAACAGACATCTTTAATATTTGCACATTTTTTGGCATGTTGACCACTGTCAGAGGGCAACAGAATATGTTTTATTTTCTCTCCAAAATCAGGCGAAACTTAATGCGCGAGCTGATGTCATCCATAAAATTACTTGCTGTGGCCTAACAATTCTACATAATATACATAACAGAATGTGCTAGCAGTTCTCAGTAGACTGTAATATGTTTGTAATACATTGTATTCTGCTTGGCTTCTAGGTACCGCAGGGATTTGTGGCTCGCAGCCTTGTAGGAACGGCGGGGAATGTTTTGAAGGAAACGATGATTTTATCTGCAACTGTGGAGAGGCTTGGACTGGAAAAACATGTGAGACAGGTACGTCAACAATATCCTCTTAGAGCCAAATTCAAGTAAAAGTTCAATCCCCAATTGTTTGTATTTACATGTACACAAAAACGACGTTTGAACATGTAAAACTAATTTTAGCCTTCTGTATAGATATACAATTACCCTTGTAAGGGATTCAAGTAGATTAGCATTAAAAAAGAATGTCTCCAAAATTCCAGATATTGACGAGTGCAAAGCGTCTCCTTGCGGGGAACAGGGGACCTGCAGCAACACCGATGGAGGCTTCACTTGTGCCTGTAACGAGGGATATGATGACAACGACGGCTGCAAAGGTGCATTTTTTCTTAGGAATACAGAGTAGCTATTATTATGTTTACCGAAGGAAAACACATTGTTTTTGCTCAGTTTCCTCTTCTTCTCCAAACCAAAAAGGTCAATGACCTAAACCAGACGGCTGGCGCCATGGTAACTGGTAACTGGTGTTGGGTTACATCATGTTGCAATTTTATAGCAGGAGGGATTTAGACTCCTGTCACCATATATGTGAATGTGTTTGAGTAAGAATTAACAGAGCAGACCATGTGCGAAGGTAAACATTACGCATTTCTTTGCAAATGTTACTGTTCTAGTTATTTCTATATATAGTTCATTGTAATTCATTTCCAAACGACGACATTAATTTTAGTTTACTTTACGAATACTAATCTTAGATATCGACGAGTGTCTCGTGGGGACCCCTTGCGGTGAGAACGCTGACTGCAGCAACACAGTTGGCAGCTACGTGTGCGCATGCGCCTCCGGATGGGTGAGCGACGGTTCGACAAACTGTGTCGGTCAGTATTTTTTTCACAGACTTCAGATATTCTACAACAGTTATTTATCAAACTTTGACCACTTTTGACCACTTTGAAACTTTACTATAGTAGTTATGATATTCACTATATTAGTTATGATATTCATTCATATGTATTAGTTTTCATTATAGTTTTTCCGTTAATTCATTTACATTTATCATATTGATCTCATAACTTTCATTTCGTCATTAGACCACATCAATTAAATTTCTTGGTTACCGGATTTTTCTACAAAAATAATGGAGCGAGTGGGCGAAAAAAAATTAAAAACAGGCCTAGGCATCCTATTATGGCCAAAAATGGTACGATAGGAGCCCTGAAGTCAACACACCAGGCTGGTTCAAAATTTAAACAATGAATTTTGAACTTTTAATGATGCCATTGCATTGAAAGACGGAATAGCTGTAACAACTAGGAAGAAAAGGACTGTTTTCAACTGTTCAGGGCAACAAAATATGAGCATTTCGCAGTTGATTCTGAATTTTTTTTTTTTGTAAATCAGAAAAAATGAAGCGGGCGAATCCGTTAACCAAGAAATAAAATTGGTTTAGCCTTACGTTAGGAAGAACTTATACAAGCCCTGAAGGCTTTCTTCCCCTCCTGCACATTATTTGGTTTTATTTAGTTTGTTTACATTTTCAATTTATAACTGTGCGAATTAAATAAATACAAATAATACTTATTTGTGATTGATACATTCATGATCCTTTATAACTTTGGCATTTCTTCTTTCAGATGTGGATGAATGTTTGGGACAACCCTGTGCTCCTGGTGCACAGTGCGAAAACACAGAAGGAAGCTTTCAGTGCAAGTGCGGGAGTAACATCATTTTACCAACTGAAAGTTGTGGGGGTGAGTTCTTATATCTTTAGTCTTGTCTTGTCTCCTATCTTCATATTTATCTGCCATCCACGTCCCGGCATGGCAACAGACATCTTTGCTCATTTTCGGAATGTTGACCACTGTCAGAGGGCAACAATTTTTTTTTCCAAAAATAAGGCGAAAATTTATGCGCGCACAGATGTCATCCATAAAAATTACTTGCTGTGGCCTAATCATTTCGACTTTGTCCAATAGATGAGGTAACCGTGCGTCCACCACACGAACTGATCAACGAAACTGGTTGGTCACTGGGTGACAGTATCGTCAACGGTGATTGGTCGGCGGGAGCTGCAGGTGATGTCATCGCCCATGACTGTGACCAACCAGACTTCTTCCCTTTCCCTGTCAACAACATATGCCCCGGTAACAACGTAGGGCAGGCCATCACAAACGAGAGCTACCACAGTGGTAGCTTCTCCTGGCACTACAAAAGAGGCCTGTTTCTAAACGCCTACGGCTCTGGGTTCCCTTTTTCGCCTGGGTTGACCGTAAAAGTAGGGAGAAGTGACGGAAGCTACGACGCAGATGCTGATTCGTTCTATGCATCATTTTGGTTCAAGGCCGCTAAAAATTACACCAACCAATATGGCGACGGTTCGCGTATTCTTGTCGCAGCCGGGGACCCAGACGGGACGGAGGCTTCCTCAAACTATCTCGAAATCAGCTTTCCAAACGTGCGTCGCAGCAAAATAACCGTAAGAACGAGGGAGAGCCATCCAAGCTACGAACAATGCGCGACTACGAAGGATTGCGGAGAGGACTTTGGCTTCATATACACGACTGTAGCTGAAAATCTCGACCCTCTGCAGTGGCACCACGTTGAGATGACCCTCCGAGCGAAGCCCGAAGACTACAAGGACGAGTGGTCCTACAAAGTCAACGGGGTTCCCTCCCCAAACACACCACACGGGGCATACTTCAAGACCAAGCACTACGACGAAGGAAGATACTTGTACGTCAACAGGCTGAACTTTGTTGCACTGCATCGTGCCCAAGTCGATATCAAAGGATTCTTTTTCGATGACATCTACTACAAGGCCTACAACTCAGCTCAACCTACAAACATCATTGCCGAGTACTCAACTTCATTCGAACAGTAGCTATGAACGCTTGTATACATGAGATGTATGATATTCGAATTCCAAAGGCATATTTTTCGATGGCATCTATTACAAAGCCTTCAATTCAGCTCAACCTACAAACATCATTATGAAAACTTGTAAAAACTTGTAAAAATGAGATGTATGATATTCAAATTTAGAGTTTGATAGTAAAATTAAAAGCTATGGAAAAATATACTTTTGTAATCAGATATTTTATTCTATTTAAAGTTGCCGAAATGACACTGATATTCATGAAATTAAAGGCAATGGCATTGCTTTGTTTCATCTTTGTAACATTTTTCTAGCATTTCTTATAAAAACAACAAGAGCTATGCAAATATCACTCGTATTTTAGGAAATAATGTATAGTTAGTAGTAGTCTCCGTGCGTAGTAGCTCCCTCATGCGGGATAGAAAGCCCTTGCAGCAATCCCACACATGTTCTTTCCCCGTACAATCCGGATATAGCCGTCTTCACCCCAAGCTGGGCCTATGGTGAACAAAACATCAGAAAATAATATGGGTTATACCCAGAAACATTAACCATGTTTTGCAGTGGTTTGTGGATAAGTTTTGCAGCTAAGAATGTATATTGTTTAATCTTATTATCTTTGGAAAGGATGCTGTGTTCTTATTGGTTGGTTTATCTGTGAATAGATCTAAAGATATAAAATCATGTATGGATTCATATGTTTGCGCTTGTTTATTTGATTCAGCGAAAACCTAAGGAGAAATAATTTGGTGTTACAACCTTAATTTAAGGGCGGTTTCCTCAACAGCAAAATAAAAGCATAGAAATGCAAATAATATATGACGAACATGCAGCCTCTTTCTTATTGGTCGAATTGCCATGGCACCATTGGTAGAACTGTTAATTGCCATGGGGCCATTGGTCGAACTGTTAATTGCCATGGCGCCGTTGGTCGAACTGTTGATTGCCATGGCGCCATTGGTGGAACTGTTGATTGCCATAGCGCCATTGGTCGAACTGTTGATTGCCATGACACCATTGGTCGAACTGTTAATTATGATTGACAGTCATCAGGATCGGTCTGTTGTCTCCTAGTAAGAATAAAAATACCCACCCCAAGAATTACGACAAATCCAGTAGTCTTTTCCTTCAGAACTACCGTAGCCGACAAGTACAAGAGCGTGATCCAGCTGGGAAGCGGAACAGTCAGGGTCATCGTAGATTCCACTGGTGTACATCAGGAATGACGATAGGCTGGCGTCTACTATTACAACTACGGGGGTAGTGTTGACAGCGTGAACCATGTCGACTTTCTCGTGGTCAGGTAAGACGTGTATCGTGTTTTTACACTATAACACATAGAAAGAAAGTAGACTCTAGGTGTCAGGTATAATTTTTCTACTGGAGGATGTGTCAGTTGTAAGAAATTTGGAAGAAAACGATTTCTACTGATTGTTGTACTTGAAAATGTCGACTGTCTTGTGGTTAGGTAAGACTGTGTACTGTGTTTTGACACTATTGCATGCAAAAAGGAAGAAAACTTCAGTTCAGTTACATAATTTGCAAACTCTGGTGTATGATTGTTCACCTGGAATTAGTGTCAGTTTAAAAAAAAAAGGGTTCGATGTGGAAGGAAACGATTTCTGTGCTTATTGTTGTACTTTACAGCGACGTTGATTTGGATCTGAATGGGTCGGCCTGTCTAACCACAAATTAGCATAACATAGCAGCTTCACAAGAAGTGGATGGCGGAAACATAAACTAATCAATCTAGGGCCCTGTTGATTTGATTATATGAATTACATCCTCTGGGAACCTCAAAGCTGGTTCGAACGTTGCCTTCTCACTCAAAGACACTCAGTTCTGACATGACATGACACTTGCAACATTATGTAACCCAACACCAGTTACCATGGTGACAGACTTCTGGTCGATTCTGGTCATTGACGAAGAAGAAGAGGATTCAAGAAACTGAACAAAAACAGAAGGTTTTCCTTCGGTAAACATAAATATTTTGAAGATAAATAACATGTGGTAATTTATGCAAATTTTTTGTGACGTCACCACAAGCTTTTGGGCCACGCCCAGTTTTGGAAAAGCAGGCCTTACCGTTGCAACTGCACTGCACAAATGTGCGTTGCACTGGCCCGGTGGTTGAGTCGGGTAGTCCGCAGCACTGCATAGCCCTTTTGTCTTGTTGATGATACAGTCATAACCAATGGCAAAGTCAACATCCGGGCAACAATCCGCCACTTCCTGGGCACTAAGTGGTATCAGGTTACCGGTCTGGATAGCGTGGAAGGATTCCAGTGATTCTATTGGTGCAGACGGATAATTTGATTAACCTTTTAAAAATTCAACTGTTGTATATAGATTTCCCTGACTTTATTGATGTATAGGTGAATGCATGAATGGGTGAATGGTTTGTTGCAAGACACAACATACAATGTCGGCCTTCATTGGGTAAAATGCAGTATAATTTAGAATCAAAAGAAATCTAAAAGCAATAAAGATACACGTATATACTTAACATTACAAACCTTACAAAACTCACTTTGAAGTACATCTGTAAATATGCTTATTTGCGGCGCTAACAATTATCATCCAAATTTATGGTCCAAAATAATGAAAATTCTGCATTGATGAAGACAAGTGCTTCCTCTTGTTTTAATTATAAGAAGTTTATGAAGTAAAATGCCACTCTTCCCTACTAATATGTTTACCTTTGCAGAAGGAAAAACATATTGTTTTTGCTCTGTTTCTTCTCCTTCTTCTCCAAACAAATAAGATCAATGGCCTGAACCAGACGTCTGTTGCCATGGTAACTAGTGCTGGGTTACATAACGTTGCAAACTGCATATGCATATGTGTTTGAGTAACAGATCTAGAGCAGACCATATGCGAAGGTGAACATTATCTATTTGCTTTGCAAATGTTACATTTCTAGTGTTAGATTACGTCACCTGTAATGGCGTAAGCCATGACCTTTCCCAGCATGCCTTGGTCCTTCACAGGCGTAACCACTCCTTTTTCCCGCCAATCCAGGGAGGGTGCAGGCTGGGTCATCTCCATGGCAACCGCGTGGTGCAGGCTGGCTGACTCAGCGTCAACTCGATAGGTAGGGTATCTCAGCTTTTCTTTGGGGTAGAGTTGCTCCTAGATGTGTCAATAGTGTACATATAATCTGTCAGTAGAATGTACATAAGGCATTTAGAGATATCTCAACCATACCATGCAGCATCAGTTAAAGCTTTGCCAGCTGAAGCTTTGGTTACCAAAGCGATCTCGCCTATAGCGTTGACATCTTCATTCTGGCCACCGGTTGCGCAATAGACACCTTTCCAAATACCGCCGCCATTTTGAATCTGGTCTCGCGAGAGCACGATCCGGCGAGAGCTCGCGTGATTTTACAGAGGGCGGTAATCATGAGCCATTTTGTTGGGTATCCCTGGAACAGAATGGCGTGAGTGTGATCGTCATACATGTGGCGTTTTTTCTGACATCTCCTGAAGTCATGATGTTTGTAATATGACCAGGATGGCGGTGGATTTTATGAATGGCTGCCAAGGTCAAGCCAAACAGCAATGGCAGCCGTTCAGTTCGCAATGCACTCTGGGATGTCTACTGAAAAGGCAACACATTTGTTACCTGGTGGTGTGGTTGTCAATCGCTCATGTCTTAATAGTGAGTGTTGTGGCTGAAATGATGTAGTTAAAATCTTTAGTTGCTCAGGGCATAATAAGATTCAACTTACCTGGTCACCGAAACTGTTCATCGCCATTTTGTAGCTCTTTCCCGCGGCATTGTGGGTAAAGATGGCGGTCAGGTTGGTCTCCCATATTTTCCTTCTGTAGTTTTCCTCCCCCATGGACGAGTATGTCTTTCCGTGCCAGAACTTCCACGCTTCCCATTGGAGGTCTCGATCTTTTGATGTAGAATTAAAAGGAAAGGTGTAACCAGGGTGTAGTCTCAAAGCAGAGATGGGAGGGTCGGCAAAAACAATGACACGATTGCCACCTCCCAACATCTGCTTGGATGTCATCTATCGTTTAAATTGAATGTCCGTCTACCAAGAACTTTGCTGAGTGAACAGGTAGCTATATAGGTTGAAGTAATCGTCATAAACCATGCCTATGACCTCATGAACCTTTGTATGGTGTGCCCTCTAGTATTCAAAGCTTGACAACGCTGCTTCCCCTGAATAATTATTTAGCAAGTTTTACATCAACGGGATGTTGTCTATAGTGATGTACATGAATACCTGTTTTCTCTGTTATCCCGTAGAGTTCATTACTTGTAGTTCTTTTGGTTGACAGGAATGCAAAGCTGAAGAATACAATCAGACGGTACACCGTAAGAGCTGCGACCGCCATCTTGTTTTGTCCTATATTGTAACGATTGCTTGTTGCGCAACGTGTTGACACAAAGTTCACATGATGTCCACAGGACTGGGACCTTTGCACCGCGAGGCCGCTAACCTGGTATCCACACGAGTCGTCGTTGGGCGGGTTTTCTTCGGGGCTGCAGGAGCCCTTCCCCGCCCGCCTGAGCTAGGTTCCCTGGTAGGTTTTTAACGGCAGGAGTTTGATTAGGCCCACCACGATCGACTATTCGTCCTCCTACCGGGCGGCATGTTGTACTGGGCGGGGGAAAACTATTAGAGTCCCGAAGAAAGCCTGCCCCAACCACGATAGCCTGGACACAAGCTTATGAGGCCCCCGTTGTTGAGCCAAATTCTTGAGCTCCCACATACGTGAGAGGTCAGGTGTTTAGGGCTAGGGTTAGGGTTTATATTAGAGTTAGGGTTAGGGTTAGAGTTGGGAATATTGTTCTGGCTAGGGATAGACTTACGATTGGGGTTATATAGGTTAGGTTTAGTCTCCCACTTCACGACTCCTCCCACCGCTTGTCTCAGGTATATTGGAAACCCCCATGGGCCCTCTTACAATGGTGACCAATGCATAACCAAGTTTAAAGTAAATATCCAATGCAAATTACTTCATTTGCATAACCCATTAAACCATCACCATAATGGTGTTATTTATCTTATCGTCATGCGCCTTTTCCTTATACTAAAAAGCAGTGTTAAAACATATCAAGTGATAAATCCAACAATTGGAGTTTTTCACGTTTTTATTTAAAAAAGCTACGTTGGAATTCTTACATTGTCGTTCTGTTCGCTTAGCATATTGAAAATTGGTACATCAATGAATCAGTTCACAGTTTCAAGTGCGCATTGCAGTGTGATGCATTGTGGTCTCTCTCAGAGCCAAACAGTTAGTTAATAATTCTAAAAGCTCACCAGTTAGTGCTTGAAACTTTGAAGCAATTTGTGTCAGCTCTTAGCAACACATTTTTCTTACATTCACTTGTAAAAAGTGACCTGCTGAATACTCAATACTAACGTTAACACATCCACTAATAGTATACAAGCATTAAGTAACATCACGAGTAGAGGCATCAGATAAGATCACTAAACAATAGATGAGATAAGATCATCAAACAATAGATGATAGCTAGTATATAGTATTGTTGTAATATATAGACTCCTAGCACTTAGCATTAGAATATAGCGTTCCAGTATGCAATACTCATGTTTTCATCCTCTCGACCACATTTGGTCACATTTGTGCATTTAGCCCATCTGGGAAAGAACATGCAATAAAGATTCATATTATATCATATTATTAAAGGATAAACTCTACAATTACATTAGAAATATGGGTTTCATAATATCACATACATGTTAGTTTCTACATAAATTTTCATGTACTATTTCAATTAACATGTGGACAGATTTTATGATTATGACTTGTTGGTATTTTTTCAGTTGAATTGAAATTCGTATTATTAGTAGAGGGTCATATGTAAAACACCATTTCCACTAAACAACATGAGCATGAGTACATATGTCTAATATTAGATCTATATAAGATTATGATTATTAGTGGGTCATATGTAAAACACCATTTCCACTAAACAACATGAGCATGAGTACATATGTCTAATATTAGATCTAAGATTATGATTACTAGTGGGTCATATGTAAAACACCATTTCACTAAACAACATGAGCTTGAGTACATAATATTAGATACTAATATTAGATCTAAGATTATGATTATTAGTGGCTCATATGTAAAACACCATTTCCACTAAACAGTATGAGCTTGAGTACATATGTCTAACATTAGATCTAAGATTATGATTATTAATTAGCAGGCCATATGTAAAACACCATTTCCACTAAACAACATGAGCTTGAGTACATGTATCACAAAATCAACTGATGAGTCCGTACGTAAGTCTCATTTGACCCCCCCCCTAGATTTGTGGCTATATCTATTTGATTTTTGTACATGTTTGAATTAGACATATGTAAGACATAAGGATTTATTAGCCTTGGCAGACTAAAAAGAATTAATTATCGCTAATTTACAATGCAAAATCAAATTTTTCGGAGGAGAAAAGAAACATTCAAATTGGATAAATTGATGTTACTTTTAGGTTGGAAAGGAGACAATCTATAATATGTATTATATTATATTATATTATATTATAGGATTATTTTCAAACCATTCAAAAATGGGATACAGAATTGGTCTAAACAGGGGTTCAAACAAGCACCAGTCAGTCCATTGACATTGTTTAACAAAGACAACGTGGTTTAAGATTATGAGTTGAAAAAAGTAATATTTTAGGTGAGATCTTCTAATTCCTGACATCTAAATGCTGATATTTGGCAAGCTTTACTAGTAAGGCCACACCAAGGAAATTTTATGGATGACATCCTTCGCAGACACCAAAATTAATTCGAGAGGGTAAAAAAACAAGATTCCTATATTTTGAAAATTTGAATCATGAACCCTGTTAAATTGTGCTAACTTTACTGCCAACTATCACAACATCCATTTGTCACTTAAACAACTTTGAAAAAGGAAAGTTTTCAATCATTGTACAAATGGTTTTGATTCAGTGGGAACATATAAAAGGAATGAAATACATAATTGCATCAAAGTCAAAACAATAAATCAGAGCCTTGTCTCCTCTCTTCATGTTTATCTGCCATACACGTTCCATGGCAAGGCATGTTGACCACTGTCAAAGGGCAACAATTTTTTTTTCAAAATCAGGCGAAAATCAATGCGCGCGCTGATGTCATCCATACAAATTACTTGCTGTGGCCTAAGGAAATGCTTAGCTGTCTGACTCATCCCCATTTATGGATGAGGGGCTTGGCAGATAGGCCGAGCCTTATAACTGCATGCAGTATCGTCCCACATAGGAGAACCAGTGACTCCTGACCAGTACTGCGCACACAGTTCATTAACAAGTAACCACCCACGCTCTGTGTGATTTGGCTCTCCTGGATTCCATCCCTGTTAAATAAACATCATATTTGAGGTACTTGTACAATGATATAAAACATATTAAATTAGTTATGTAAGATATAATACCAGTTATAAGGAAAGACTTCGTTTCTGCATTTGATAAAATCAATTAAAGGATTCTAGTTCTTTTAGGTAAACAACAGCAAATAAGGCGTGTCGATGTACCTTGTATACGGTGCTGCGCAGACTTGACCCATCATCCCATTGCCACTGATGACCCTCAACTTCCCTCATGCCGATCCAATAGTTCAGGTTTTGTCCTTCCTTGAAGACCAGATTCCTCAGAGCCTGGTCCAGTTCTTTTGTTTTAGGCATGGCTAGTCTCGCTCCCTCCCTCTTACAGGCCATCTTGGCTTCGAAGTACTGCATTTCGTTGACATTAAGTTTGAAGCAAGTCCCAGCGAGTAGTTTGTATCCGACTTTGCAGTCTCCGTCACGAGTACCTAGAATAGAGAAGATAATGGCCTGATTTGTTGTAAAATCATTTACAATTATTTTGGTATTGAAAAATTCACTTCCTTTAGTATCTTTACAATTTATCGGTGTCTCACCTGTAATCTGGTGGCCTGGTTTTCCAAGCTGTCCAATGGGACCGAGAGGTGTAGGTTGTCCTGAAGCAGAAGGTCCGTATTGTCCGGGGGCAGAAAATCCGGGTTGTCCAGGAGGTTCCACAGGTTCGGGTTTTCCAGGAGGTCCCGTAGGTTCGGGTTTTCCACGGAGTCCCGTAGGTTCGGGTTTTCCAGGAGGTCCCATAGGTTCGGGTTTTCCACGGAGTCCCGTAGGTTCGGGTTTTCCAGGAGGTCCCATAGGTTCGGGTTTTCCAGGAGGTCCAACGACTTTGGGTTTTCCAGGGGGTCCCACAGGTTCGGGTTTTCCAGTAGGTCCCATAGGTTCGGGTTTTCCAGTAGGTCCCATAGGTTCGGGTTTTCCAGGAGGTCCCACAGGTTCGGGTTTTCCAGGAGGTCCCATAGGTTCGGGTTTTCCAGGTCCCATAGGTTCGGGTTTTCCTGGAGGTTCAACGGTTTCGGGTTTTCCAGGGGGTCCCACAGGTTCGGGTTTACCAGTAGGTCCCATAGGTTCGGCTTTTCCGGGAGGTCCCATAGGTTCGGGTTTTCCAGGAGGTCCCACAGGTCTGGGTTTTCCAGTAGGTCCCATAGGTCCGGGTTTTCCAGTAGGTCCCATAGGTTCGGGTTTTCCAGGAGGTCCAACAGGTTCGGGTTTTCCAGGAGGTCCCATAGGTTCGGGTTTTCCAGGAGGTCCCATAGGTTTGGGTTTTCCAGGAGGTCCCATAGGTTCGGGTTTTCCAGGAGGTCCCATAGGTTCGGATTTTCCAGGAGGTCCCATAGGTTCGGGTTTCCCTGGAGGTCCAACAACCTCGGGTTTTCCAAGGGGTCCCGTAGGTTCGGGTTTACCAAGAGGTCCCATAGGTTCGGGGTTTCCAGGAGATCCCATAGGTTTGGGTTTTCCAGGAGGTTCCACTGGTCTGGGTTTTCCAGGAGGTCCCATAGGTTCGGGTTTTCCAGGAGGTCTCGTAGGTTCGGGTTTACCAGGAGGTCCCATAGGTTCGGGTTTACCAGGAGGTCCCATAGGTTCGGGTTTACCAGGAGGTCCCACAGGTTCGGTTTTTCCAGGAGGTCCAACAGCCCCGGGATTTCCAGGGGGTCCCGTAGGTTCGGGTTTTCCAAGAGGTCCCACAGGTCTGGGTTTACCAGGAGGTCCCATAGGTTTGGGTTTTTCAAGAGGTTCCACGGGTCTGGGTTTTCCAGGAGGTCCCATATGTTCGGGTTTTCCAGGAGGTCTCGTAGGTTCAGGTTTTTTTCCAGGAGGTCCCAAAGGTTCGGGTTTTCCAGGAGGTCCCACAGGTTCGGGTTTTCCAGGAGGTCCAACAGGCTCGGGTTTTCCAGGAGGTCCCATAGGTTCGGGTTTTCCAGGAGGTCCCACAGGTTCGGGTTTTCCAGGAGGTCCCATAGGTTTGGGTTTTCCAGGAGGTCCCACAGGTTCGGGTTTTCCAGGAGGTTCCACAGGTCTGGGTTTTCCAGGAGGTCCAGCAGGTTCCGGTTTTCCAGGAGGTCCCATAGGTCCAGGGAATCCTAAAGGTCCTGGCAATGCAGGGGGTCCCACAGGTCCGGGTCGTCCAGGGAACCCCACAGGTCCGGGTTTTCCAGGAGGTCCTACAGGTCCAGGTTTTCCAGGAGGTCCCACAGGTCCAGCTCGTCCAGGGGGTCCCAGATGTCCGAGTTGTCCAATAGGTCCGACATGTCCGGGTCGTCCAGGGGGTCCCACAGATCCGGGTGGTCCAGTGGGTCCCACAGGTCCAGGTCGTCCAGGGAGTCCCACAGGACATGGTCGTCCAGCGAGTCTCATACGACAGGGCGTCCAGGGAGTCCCAAAGGATAGGGTCGAAGTCGTCCAGGAGGTCCCTCGGGTCCGGGTCGTCCCCGGGGCCCCAAAGGTCCTGGCGGTCCAGGGGGTCCCATAGGTCCAGGTCGTCCAAGGAGTCCCAAAGGATAGGGTCGACGTCGTCCAGGAGGTCCCTCGGGTCCGGGTCGTCCCCGCGGCCCCAAAGGTCCTGGCGGTCCAGGGGG